TTTCTGAGAAAAATCATATTTATTATCATATTCAATGTAACAAGGAAACTGTATCTGGCTGTAAACGCGGTGAATTTGCACGGAAAAATGTAAAATTTCAAGATCGAGATATTATTCATCTCTCGGCCTATGTATTTTCCAGGAGCGTACGCAGTTTCTGGAATGAAATATACGAAGATGGCTGCAACGTGCAGCGCTTGAAGATTTTCCAAAGTTGCCAACAACCGTTTCACAGGGCGTCGTCGTGAGGGTTAGTCTGGTCGAAGAATTGAAAACTTCGTCTAAGAAAAATCGATCCTTTGTCCTTGAGATATGGGCCCTGAGGCCAACGAAACGACTTATACCTATCACGGTTAACTGCGTCTTTATATTCTGGCTGCATTGCACGAACCGCCGTAGCTTTTTGCTCGCATCACACTTCCCCCTTCGCGAATAAGAATTTCGACAAAAATATTCCGCGATAGCGATAACTCACTTCCTTTTGCTGGTAGATACCGTAAGAAACTCGACTTTGAATCGCAACAATGGAAACTGGATGAATATTTTTTTTTTCCCCCCTCCTTTTTCTCAATTTTATCGACCATAATTTTACCGAATTTATCGAAAGAGTATTTTATAGCAAAATGAGAAATAATGTTTTTTCTTTCGAATGAAACTTTTACTCTTTGCTACTAGAATAAAGAATGTTAATTTTGGAAAATTTAATACACGGAATATATTTTTATCGTATACAAAGAATTCGATAAGACAGGTATTGAGTCATTCACGTATCAAGTTTTTTATTATCAATTATTTAATACTTGAAAGAATATAATTCTTTTTGAAATATTATCAAAAAAAATATTTTTATATCAAATAATTATATATTGCATATATAAATTATATATAATGAAGTAAAACATAATTTTTTAAAGAACTGATATTGAAAAATCAGATTGCAGAATTCTAAAAATAATCTGTAAGTATTTCCACTCTTTTTTTTTCTTCGTTCGTTTTTAGTTTCAGATAGATAACGTAGTAGCATACTTGCGAGTATGTAACTATCACCTACATCAACCAGTGGTCCCTAATTGGAACTTCCGGCAAGGGTAATTTTACGATTTACACTCCGGAGAAGAGGATCCTCTTTTACTCGATCAAACATAGAAATTTTCCATCAATTTAAATTGAAAATCAACAATTTAAAATGAACAATATCAAAACGTGTGATAAAGTGAAAGAATTGCAACAGATAATTTATGATGTAAACTTTAAAGAGAAATGTTATCTATGATTTTAACAAATTCATGAATCAGGAAATTTATCCGTTTACTGTGTTCTTCCGTTCTTGGAAATGGAACGGAAATCCGTGATTCGAGTTAGAAAACATATAATCAAACGATAAACGCGCGAGAAAAAAATGCTACTCCATTTTTAACAATCGTAGTATACATATATATAAATTGAATTCTCTACTATACAATTAATATAATTCTAAAATAATAATGTAAAATAATAGTGATAAAATATAGTAATAAACGATATAATATATAGTTTCTCACGTTCTACCATTCCATTTTAACCTAACAATGTAACAAAAAAAAAA